AAAATGTGATCAGTGTCCGGTACCTTTCTGAATCTGCTGATTGTTGTTTATGATATCTTGCTTTCTATGAATTGGCATAGCCTAATATTTATTATTGTGCAAAATGTTTTGCCTATACAACTTGAAACTGCGACTCCCCTGTAATTATCTGGTTCAGATATGGGTCCCAAGCGACGTCTAAAACGCATGCGCGAACGATGTTTTCTTCTACAAGAGTGTTTGGACATTGCGAGTAAGACTGAGACATGGTTACTAAAAAAAAGAAAAAGTAACCGTCGCGGTGAACGAGATCATGGCTCGTGGCTATTTTTTAGGCTCATTTGTTGTTGGCAGATAATTGTATCAAACGTGATCTGGAATTTCATTTAGAAATGTAAAAAAATATTTAAAAAAACCAAAATAAGGTCAACAATAATGTTGTTTTTGTTTAAATTTAACGTCTACAATCACGATCATGTAGAAATTTATTGGATGGGCATTTATATGAATGAACGCTAATCACAGCGTGCAGTGATTGGTCCGTCACCACCAGTTAACGCAGAATCTCCATAGTAGAGGTATATGGGTAGGCGCCACTGTTTTGACTTCCATTTTCAAGATCGAGCCACTCCCCCTCCCCCATTTTAAGCTTTTCGGCCAATTTAGCAAAAATTATGCCAATTATTTTAGCTAAAAGCGCCCTTGGCGTCGATCCTTTGAGTAGCATCAAAATTCAGCGTAAGATTCGTGAGAAAATTGTCGTCAAACAACCGTACGAAATGTTAATCACCGTGCTTGAACGGAAACTTTACGACGCTCTTATATATATCACAGAGCTAAGAACAGGGAATGAAGTATCTTCGAACCTGGGTCTCGTACAATGTCAAAGCGCCGTGGGCAGAATAATGGAGGAGGGGGGGGGGGCTATTCAAATTTGGGGTGCGAACTGGCTGTCTGTTGAAGCAGTGCATATTAAGTATATGCAGAAATCCTGCTTATAAACGGATAACAAAAGGTGGTTAATTTACCTTCTCTGTTACTTAACAGTTATTGACAAGTGTTCACTCACACTCGGATTTCAAGGAGATCTTTACCAATGTCCAAGTAATAATACATTTGGGATACAATCAGTACTATGATATTCATAATTATTGTAAATTGCCGAAAAATGGACAGGTATTCGAACTCGTAACAGTGAAATATGCAGGTTTACCCTCGGGTACGTATTGCATATACGCAGAATAGAGACATTATGATTGCCCTTGTTTTTATATAGCCCAGAACGAGGGTTTAATCACAGTCCCTCTATGGACTAGAGGAACTGTGCTCAGTCACGGAGCTACTAGTATCTCATTATAGTTCCATGATACAGACGACAACTGACAGGTAAGCGCGAAATAGTCGTCCTGCTAGAGTACACTTTCTCTGTGGTCATATAAAGATACACATTTCAAGAATAAAACGTACTTTCTCGCAGTTAAATTTCTCTAGCGGCCAGAGTTCCCGTGGACGGTCGCAACGTCACTTCACATGCCAAACATTGAAAACAACAGCAACAATATTTAATTTATTGAAGTGCTGGAACAAATAGGTTTAGTGCGCTTTAACAACACAGATAAGCCGCGTTCTAGTAAGTAGATCTGCTTATCAGCATATCGGCATATGTCGTTATGATTTCAATATCCAATGACCGATATTAATATCGCAGTTTACTCTCTCTAGTTTATACCTTCAATGCTCTTATTGTTCCGAATTGACGCGATATTGAGCTTTCAATAGTTTACTAAAGATGGAATTTCTCGTATAATTATTAACAAAAAATTTTCGAGATATGTTCTCATGTGGTATAAATTAAATTTCTTTTGTGTTTATCTATGCTTATAAATGACTGTTTGTTTAAAAAATTACTCTCGATGAAAGCGGGATAAAGAATCCTTCTCGTAAATGGTGATCAAAATTACGCCTAGAAACAGACCCACACTTTGAACTAAATAGGGGTGGGCAGAAGTGTCAGTTAGTATTTAATATTGATATTAAAAAGTCATTGTTCTTTAAAACGTGGTATTGAGTTACGTGTAACGCTATATAAAAAAGTGTAAACATAACATTTCGTTTACAAGTGTACGTGAGAAGATTTATCCTCGATTTCAAATGGTTAACCGTAAATCTGTTTCAACTTAGGACACATTTTAGCTCACAGTTTACGATAAGGATTTCTGATCTGATTTAGTGAGCAACATTTTCGAATCGAATTTTGCCCACCTCATATCCAATCTTTGTAATTTTCTGATTTAATAATAACACAGTGAAAGCTGTTAATTCAAGTTTGACACTCAGTCATGTGATACATTACGTTACATGTTGTTATATCTTCATTTCTTGACTACAAGTATTGTTGGTTTCTATTTCCATGCCAGTATTTGAAAGTTCACACTTCCCGGGTACTGGTGAGAATAATGATACCTCGTCTAGTTAATCTTTGTTTTAT